CTCACCCTTTTGTCTTTTTCACTCTGCCCCGCCCCGCCCCGCCGCGCGCGGCCGCGGAGATCCGCCTGCGAATAGCGTGTGAGCCGCGTTATATACCTCAGCTCACCGCCAAATATGTCAGAATTGCAAATGCGTGCGGTTCGACGAAACACGCCGAACGGCGGCGGCCGGATAGAGCCGGGGCGCGAATTCCGCGCTGCGAGCTCTAAGATATATTCGAGGCGGACCGATGAGAGACGAGGAATGCCAGACATCGGCGGACGTGAAAGGGACGCGCGGACGGTGTGAATCGGAGCATCGCATCGGAGGAATTTTAGACCCACTTCGGTATGGAAATTCGGGGGGAAGACCTATCGTTTCGCTCGTCGGCGCCTTTGAGTTCGCGCGATAAGCGACGCTTCTCGTATTCTTTTGCGAGATGTCGCGAACACGTCCGCGCTCCCGTCAAACGAAAGTTACGTTTCATCGCGAACGTGTCTGCGAATATTTTCGTACGTTATTAACTTTCTCGTTGACCGATCGCGACGTTATTCGTATCTCGCCGGCCGAGCGTTGTCTTGCCCGATCCACGAGTCCTCGTATTTGTTAAAAAGAAAAAAATAAATAGAGAGCAACGTTGGTCGGGAATGCCAGAGGCCGGTCTAAATAAATCAACATATAACATTCAAGTCAATGTTAACAAAAACCTTTCATTATTTTCTAGAGCGACATCATAATATTTGAAAACACTTGAATCGAGTCGATAATTTCATCGGCACTCAACTAATGAACTTTCAGTGAGGATGTGTCGAGAGAGAGAGAGAGAGAGAGAGACAAGTTTACGCGTAGAATATGACGCGCGTTATGTTCTAGGTTCTAGGTTAGGTTAGGTTAGGTTAGGTTAGGTTAAAACACAAAGCCGACGCAGTCGGCAATCGCTCGTCGAGTTAACGAATCTTACAATAACCTCACGCGTCGGTCGTTCGCACGGGAAGCGACAACGCCGCCGAAGAGGATGTTAAGGTTAACAGGTACAGGATACTTCATCCCCTTCGCTCGTAAACGCCAACGCCTCGTAATTATAACGAGATGTTTTCTCCGAATATAACGAGCACCGCTGATGAGATCAGAAGGTAATGGCTAGCGGAGCCGCGTCGGTGCTTTAGATTGGCTCTTGTTAAGGCGATAGCGACTAGTCGCAAATCAATCGCGAGCCGCATTTTTATACGCCTTTAATTGGCTAATACGAGCGCGAATGATTGTGTAAGCATGCCGTAGAGCAGAGTATTGTTGTAACGGCCGTAAGCGTTGTCGATGCACACTTCATCAACTGGCGTTATATTGGTGTTACATTGGCCACGGTGACATAAATTAGGGTTACATTGGCCCGATGTATCCCAATATACAGCCAATATTGGTTAGATATTAAATTACAATATATCGCCAATATTACGTAGCATCGTTATGTCAATATTAACTTACATTTGGGTTACATTGGCCCAATGTATCCCAATGTGCAGCTAATATTGGTTAGACATTAAATTACAAGATATCGCCAATATTGCATAGCATTGTTATACCAATATTGACTTACATATTGGCCAATATTGGGGGCTCAATTTGTAGCCAATATTGGCCCAACACAATATGTGCTACTAGAGTACATCTCTCGCGAATGCGAATGCGAGGCGTTACTAACCTCTCTCGAGGCGGTCGCAGATTCGGAAAAGTTAGCCTCGGCCGTGGCGGCTGGCTTCGAGGAGGACACTTCCGTCTATCTTGCTCGGGAAGGCGACGCGATGATCTTGACCTCGACCCCGGTTGAGCCCGGGGATGTCGCGAGCACGCCCTCGGTCATGTAATTTCACACGAAAAATTTGTATCGCCGCGGAAACGTCGCGAAAACGTCGAACGCGCCAACAACTGTCGCTTGTTTTTTGCACCAACAGCATGGCGCCGCGACGTTGCGCGGCGGCGATACGCAACTGTTCGCAATTTTCGTACGTACAGCGGGTGTCATCATTGGCCGCGTTCAGCAGAACAAAGTGATCAGAGAGCGCTTAGTGATTATTGTCAGTGATTGGAGCATTCTGTTAGATTCTCCATAGACCCAGAAGTATTTACCAATCAGGAGCGAGATTCAGTGGAAAATCTAGTAATGTTGTCCAACTGTTGAGTCTGCTGAATGCCGCCATTATCGCTTGGCCTAGGGCTTGTTTTAAAGCCGATTTTCAATCGATTTAATCGAAGATCGATTAATCGGAGCCTAAAAGATGGATTTCAACTCGATTTTCCGGAACTGAATCGATTCAAGAATCGATGATGTAAATTCTGAAAATCTCACCAACACTTTCTTTTTTTCAGTTTCTACTAGTAATATAGTTTTTTCTTTAATTCTTCGTAGTTGTAATATTTGAACTCACTTAATGGCCGCACGATGCGCATCACGTTGCCTTTAGGCCGATGTCCCATGGGCGAAAATTTTCAGCGGAACAGCCACTCTATATATTAGTATACATTGTATACATATGTATATATGTATATAATAGTAAACGTGATTTTTTATTTAATAACATTTAAAAACCTTCGATTGACGTTTAATCGAACTAATTAAATCCTTAGCATAAAGATTTAAAGATCTTTCTCTATCTTGTTGTGGCCACACACAACACAACACAACCAAAAGAGTACCACATCTGTTCAATTTCTTTAATTCATATTAAACTTTATATGAATTGCACGAGGTCTACTTTAGAGTGTAGAGATTTGACAGATAGTATACTTTAATGAGTGGTTCAACGCATACCGATTCAAATCGATTTTCTGAAATCGATTCTTTACAAACCGATTTTTTAAAGATCGATTTTTTCTTCGTGATTCGAATCGATCTTCAAATCGAAAATCCGTTTGAGAAAAAATCGGCATCCCTACCGGCTTGGCCGTTATCTGCCGGATGAAAATGAAAGAAGGAAACTTGGAGGGATCTTTCTTTTCTCTCGTTTCACCAGCGCGCCGTTTCACCATCGCGCAATCGTCGTTCCTCTCCCGCCGTCAATGACAAATCGCGATGTAACAGACTGGAAAATATCTGTAAAATCGTTTCCACAGCCGGATGTCTCTGTGTGTGCGCGCGCCGCTCGTAATTGCTCCGCACAGCCGGAGTCGCGTTTCTTAAGCTAAAAGCTTCCCGCGCGCGCATCTCGACGAACCGTCGAACGTGCGTCACCGGCCGTATAATGGCTTATTAACAAAGCGTTGCCGAGGAACGCGGCGAAGTGACAGAGGGGCCTTGACGAGAATCGTGTGCGGTGGAGAGGCAACGGGGCTAAGGGGGAATAAGAGAATCCTGACGCCGGGAGTCAAGTCACGGGTTTCTTCGACGCCTTCGTAGAAAGGGCCCCCAACACAACGGGGCTTTAATTACGCCGATATCACGGTAATTAAGCCGATCAATGCGTGCCATTGTGCGCCGAGCGGAGGGCCTCGGCGCTTCTCCTCGGGTCCTATCCATAATCCCGACCACGAGTCTCCTGCGCTCCGCACAAAAGCAACACCCCACCCCCTCCGGCCGGGGGAGGAGGAGAACGGGAGGAGGAACAAGGACGCACGTCGCGTACCTGCAGTCGAATCTCCAGCGCGATCACCTCACCGCCGTGGAAAAACCACGACAAAGAACGGGGAGGAGAATAAACACAGTGACTCTCGATCCCGCCGATGATACGCAACCGGCCCCGTCCAGGGCCGGCCTTTCTACCGCGGCGACGCGGCCTTCCGAGACGCGAAGAACCACCGCGGGCGCGCGACCGCTCGGATCGATCTCGCCGTCGCCGTAGCCGTCGCCGGAGAGGTTATTTCGTTCGATCGCTCGAGAGACCAGATCCGAGACTGATGGAATTCAATGGAGAGGAACGCGCGCGCGCGCGCGGCATTGTTTCTGCGCCTCTCAATCTCCTTAACCCTCTGGGCCGCGATGACCGGACACGAATATTGAACGGCGCTCAATGGCGCTTCCGATAGATCGCACTTAATAGCGATTTCACGTCTTGTGTATAGATCAACGTTTCTCAAGCGTCTCTCACCTCCGCAGCTCCGCGCTCGCTCTTAATATCTCATCGTCATCCGATCTCTCCGGTCTCGGTGCTGAATGCAATTTCCATATTGGAGGCACCGTCGCGTCGCGTCGCGTCGCGTCGCGTCGGATGCCAGCCTGCGTCCTCCGAATCAATCTCCCTCCCCCTCCCCTCCCACCCGTTCGCGCGAACAAGACACCGTCATCTCCTACGCGCCACCTCAATTACGCGGCGGCCAGCGTTCTCAAGGACGCGCTTAGATGATTCGGGTGACTCACTGCACTGATGAACGCCTCGTCACTGTTTATCGAGTTCCTTCCCCCCTGTTCATTAAACTCGTGTACAGAAAGGACGGAGGGGACGATCTAGCTCCCCTTCAGGGGCGGCGGGGAGGGGGGGGGGAAGGAGAGCGCGTTTGTTTGCTACCGCCCGCGCACCGTCGTCCGTGTTTGTCGTAGGAGTTAGGACCTCGGGGATCTCTTTGCGAAGGCCCGCTTCGTCCCACTGTTTCAAGACGAGGACTGTGTGTCCCTCGCTCTTTCGATCTTAATGTCTCTGTTTGCCTCGCCATTTCCTGAAACATACGCCACAGCCCCGCGGCAGACTTGATGCGTTCGACTGGACTTTTTTTCTTCACGTCTCTGCTGATGGAACGCCATGAGACTTCCATTAAGCCAGTCTTTACTCGACTCTGCTCTGCTGTGGAGCAAAGAGAGAGAGAGAGAGAGAGAGAGAGAGAGAACGTAGTACAGGCTAGTAAGATATGCGCCACTCATCGCAACGGATTGTGTGCGGCGAGTCGTCTTTGTCTACAAAGAATTCGTTAGAGTTTCCTCGCGCACGGAAACTACACGTTTCGTATAATTGTATTTAGAATCGAGATGAGAAAGAGAGCAGCGATATTTTGTACGAGCTCCAAGCTGACCGAGACTGTTCTTTCATTTTTTTCAGGTCACGCTCACTAGTACAACCGCGACGAGCACGAACACGGTCCATCCTAGCGTGAACGATGTCGACTGGTTCGCCGGTGTCGCCGAGGAGGACTGGCTGTACTACACGAGCGTCAGCAACGACGTCGATTCCTTGTGGGCTGTTATCGGGAGCTTCGTACCGCCGCCGCCCAGGCCACCTTATGTGCCCGAGGACGCCATCACCACCGACGGACTCACCACCTGCGACCTGTGTTCCTGGGCATGGAAGCACGACAGGTTCTCGCTGGATGGCTCCGGTCAGTCTCTTACGTTTCTAACCGTCTAATCGTCAGCTTACAAATCTTCCTTCCCACGATTTCGCTCGAAGGCTCGAATTAGTCCAGGACACGCTGAGTGAGAGAGAGAGAGAGAGAGAGAGAGAGAGAGAGAGAGGCACTTTCTCTCATCGGGCACGCGTACAAGAGTGCCATCGAAGGGAGGGAAATATTTTTACATTGTCGGGGTGAAGTAGCGGCACGACGTCGTATTCGTCACTCGTCACGGCTACGGCCCGTCGTCGGTTTTTCTTGTCATCACTTGAGCTCAAAGTTCTCGAATGACGGCGACGAGTGGTCGCCTCGGACGAGCCGTGCGTCTGTCCACACCAGAAGCGGCTTATTCCTCGTGCACACACACTCAACCGTGTTTGCAACGTGTTTGTTCGTCAAACAGCTTTTCCAGTCTAATGCTTCGTGCTTCGGGATTCGGTCGGATCCATCTCGAACGTCGACGTCGACGAGATCCATTGTGACGATGCGACGAGTCTCTGCTTTGTTACCCGCGCGCGAACCACCCCCCGTAAAATTCGTCCGGACTTCATTCACGCCATCATTTTCGCTGAGAGGAAGAGAGAAATTATTATTTTTTATACACCAGGCGTAAAGTATCGTGAATTTTAATGCGAGGCAATCTCAAAGCCGATTACGCTGGCGGTAAAATTACGGCAGGAACCGACGGACGACAGACGACGACTCGGCCTCGTAACGAGATCATCCCAGGCAGGATCTTGATTTCTCGTCTTCTTCCTCGTCGTGCGCAGGAAGCATCATTTCGCGAGCATTTCCATTAGTCTGAATCGCCCGAAATCAACGGTTAGACCGCAGGATGGACATCAAGGCGATCGCGAGGGAGATCGTTATTAAGAGCGCACCATGTAAGATCGTCTTAAGCACGTTCATTAACCGTAATGATAAATAATGCGAGCATGACGCGCCAGGGCGGGCGGGCCATTGCACTTCTTGCCGCGTCTGTCGTCCGTGACAGGCTTCATTATCGGCGCGAAATGAATCGAACGCGAATATCCGCGTCGACACCTCCTTCGTCTCGTCGATCCTCGAGTCGTGAGCGCATGCCGCGCAATGTCGTAGCGGCGCTGTTGCATAGCGATCGAGCTCGTCGCTAGTCGAGAGCGGTTTCGAGCGAAACGCGAGCGGAGGCCTCGCGACGGCGACGGCGACGGTGACGGCGACGGCCCTCCCTACGCTCCCCTTCGCTAACGTGTAAACTGTAAGGGATAATTCGAATGCTTCCCCCCCGACCGTAGGCCGACCTCCGCATCCGGTCGACGCGCTCCGACCAATCAGAAACACGTCGGTCCCGCTCCCATGGTTCTCCTCTTCGGGATCGGTGTTCGCACGTACGCACGAAAGGTACCGGGCGAAGGCGTACGTAAGTTTCTCAACGCGTCGTGACACGCGGGGCCTCCCCACTTCTCCGGTGGGCCTCTTCACGGGGCCCCTTGGCTCGCCTCGCTCTCTCTCTCTCTCTCTCTCTCGCGCTCTCTCTCTCTCTCGCGCTCTCTCTCTCTCTCTCTCTCTCTCTCTCTCTTCCGCCCCGCGCGGGCCCCGCGGCCCGTCCGGGCACGCATTATCACCATTACCATGAATTCCCGCAGTTATTACGCCTCTGTTGAGCCGCCACCAAAATGGCGGTTGGACGCATCCTACCGTGCAGGGAGGAGGACACACTCCTCCTCGTCTCTTCTGCTCTTCTTTTTATCGCGGCGCCCGCTCGCGCGCGCTGCCGGCATGTCGTGGCTACGTTATACCGCTCTCGACAATTAATGTCGAGAATGGCGGCGCTCGATGGTAGGGATAATTGACCCTGTCAGGACTATGACAGCACTTTTACACCGCCACATGATTCGCCACAGGTCGATCCTCTCGTGTCTTACGTGTGTTGCGCAAGGTGGAGGCAGTCAGCGGCGTATTTCCGGCCGGTGGTGGCCGGGGCTGCATTAGATCAATGTCCGATCGTTGCATCTTATCTCCCCCGATCGAGCTCGAGCTTTGTTCCCGGCCGCGGCGACGATCAGCCCCGCTCGGTGATGTCGCGCGAGTTCGCCCGGTCGTCGGCCGCCATGTTGCACGAACGCGCGCGTGTTATGAGTGCTGGCGGACGAAAGCCGCTGACAAAAGGCGTCTCCGTCGCGCTAGTCGAGCCTCGCTTACCGGCGCGAAAATAACTTTTGCTTCTCCGCTCGGCGAGAGCCGCGGATCGCGAGAGCCTCGCTTGGTTCCTCTCGCAAGGAGCGCGGCGCCTCGCACATCGACGCGAGACGGCGCGTTGTCACCAAATCGCAGAGTACTCGCGCGCGCGCGCGAGTGATACCTCCTCGGACGGTAGATAAAGAAAAGGAAAGAAAGAGGCGAGAGAGAATAGTGCGTCCGGGTCTTGAAGAAGGCTCTGGCAACGCGGTAATCATCGCGTCACTTCCCATCCTTCACGACGTAATAATTACGAGATCGCGGCTCTTACTCTCGACGTGATGCAGGCCCGTGCTCGTCGACGAGGAAAGACAACGAGAGAGAGAGAGAGAGAGAGAGAGAGAGAGAGAGAGAGAGAGGTAGGATAAGTCCGAAGGAAACAGAGGAGAGAGAAAGACACGGCGCAGAGAGGTAGGATAAGTCCGAAGGAAACAGAGGAGAGAGAAAGAGACGGGCAGAAGAGAGGAGCTTGATGCAAGCTCGCGCGCGAGTTATCTACCGGTCTGCTGACTCGTGTCGACATAGACGGCACGATTCGGCGTGACTTCAGCGACGAGCGAGCGCAACTCGTACATTTCACACTCGACGATTTGCGCGGAGGTTTGTTAACGCTCCACGAGGGTGGCGTTTATTACGGACGACGTGCAAAAATGTTTCGCACGAGGCGGGGGAGTTGCGAGCGCAGGAAGAAAAAGTGATTAATTATCGTGCCCTCGAGCGGCCCGTTCCACCCGAAGGAATACGAGTCGAGTTGGCAAAAAGGTAGTATTTCTTTTTTTTTTTAATATTTAATTTCAACTTTTATGCACACGCACGCACGCACGCGCATCGGACATTGACGGCAGGAAGACCGGCAGGAAGATCGTGGTCATACACTCGATGAAGAGAGGACGAAAGAAATGAGTAACGAAGCGCCGCACACTTCTGCGATCGCATGATTTCGCGTGACTTTAGCATTCCACTGCGTCAGGAATTTTCTCGTGCTCCGGAGCTGTTAATCTCGACGCCTCGCGTCGTAATCTGAATCGATTTAATAAGCCGCGAGACGCACAACAGGGCGCGCGTACAAATCGCCGGGCATTAATTGTGCGGCGAGACGTCACGGAGAACGAACGCTGCATCACGCACAAAGCGCGCAACCAGATTTTAATCCCGAACGATACAAAACGTAAGAAGAAACGCGCGCGCGCGCGCGCACAAGGTTGCAACACGCGAGTCAACTTTGCCGAGTCCACGTGCTTGCCGATAAGTACGATAGGCTCCAGCATTTTTCGCCTACTTAGGCTTTGCTGCAAGCATGGTTAAGGCAAAGGCTGGAACTAATCCGTAGTTTCACTGATACTCTCGGTGATATCGAGAAAGAAACCGCTTCAGATTCAATCGAATTTTTCACGTTTTACTGTTACCAGCGAAGTACATCGCGAAAAGACGATCAGAATTGTAGTGGAAGGTGTTTAAAAAAAGAATTCAGAACCTCAACCCGTGAACTCTAGGGTTTTTTGTTACCTCCTATTACCTAGGACGAGTGAATTTTCATGCATAATTTTTTTATCGTTTTTTGAAGTACACACGAACTATAAATATTTGGCAAAAATTTGTAGCATTGTGTGTAAAACAGTTTTAAATCATATGTAATTTTTGAAAGGAAAGATAATAATCTTTAACTGTAAAAGAAACTTTTCTTGTTTCAGCACAAATGGTCTAAGATATTTATGAACATTATAAATTCTAGCAGGACACTGCTGTGTAATTTATCGCTATCTAGTGGCAACAATTAAGATATAATGTCGAATGAATTTTTATTTTAATATTCACAAAATGGGAGAAAAATGTCCTGATAAATATCGAAAAATTAATATTGCCGCAGTTATGAACAATTATTTATCTTAAACAAAACAAATGGCTCATTCGCTTCTGATGCTTTTGTATTCTCTGATGTAATCTGTCTGTCATTTGTCGACGAAGAAAGTATCGTGCTTTAAGGGAATCCCTAGAAAAGTCTCTTCACTCTTGCTCGATAATGTAAACAAACATATATTTTCTCCTATGCAAGAAATGACAGAAATGCATCTCACGTGTGGCCGTGCAGCGAATGACTCACTTGCTTTAATTAAAATATATAATTGTTAGGTTAGGTTAATTAAAATAAATAGTTGTTCATAACTCCGGCAATATTAATTTCTCGCACACACAGTTATCAGGACTTTTTCCCTCCATTTTCTAACTACGATCTACCCCTAAAGTTCTATGAACCCTTCAACACTCTATATACAAATACTTCAACATATTTTGCCTTTACGAACGATAGGTAGTCTTCTAATTCGCGTTATATGCGCCTGCGAGTGCATCCTGCTATCTTCACGATACGCTAACCAGCAGGTAGCTGCGCACTTTCGCGTATGTCCGCATTGGACCGATGTTATCTCGTTGCGTATACGCTCGGACCAAGGGAACGTAACGAGGTCTTCCTCAGTCCTACGGTAAGCACCTCTCCACCTCGCCCCCTTCTTCTTCTTCTGCTTCTCTCAGCCACTTCTTCCTCCTCCTCCTTTTTCTTCTTGTACTTCTTCTTGCACTTCTTCTTCTTCTTCTTCTCCGCCTTCATCGTCGTCGTCGTCGTCCTCGTCGTTCACATCGTCGTTCCTTTGGCTTCTCTCGACGCTTTCCTTTTTCGACCAGGTCCTCGGTGTCCGGCATTCACTGCGACCAAGTAAGCACCTTCGCACCCGTACGCGCCGTGCGGTGCCGACGAATGCAAACGAGAACGAGGT